CACTCCGAGGCTTTTTAGGGTAGAACCCGGGAACACCTCCTTGTAAATGTCACCCTATTGTATGAAATTCAAGAGCAGTCACAAGTAAATAGAGGATTGAAGAGCTTTCAATTCACTACTCGTCCTAGGAAAAAGTAGCTGCTTCACTCTTTCACTTGCAATTATGTAATTAATGAGTCACCAATATCGATTGACTCTGTTCGAGCGGGCATATCATGTAGCCAAACACGCATCCAGTGCCCTGCATTCTTAAAAGCATATTTTGCTTTCAGTATATACGCTCTCATATTTTTTGAATGAGCAAAGCGTTTTCATACAGTGGACAACATGGTTGACGAAGCCGTACCCTCACGGCTAGCAATCGATAGCTCCTTGTAACACTAGGATTTAGAGAGAATTTCACTCAAAGATAGAAAGGTAACCTTTGAAAATGAGAGATCCCAACAATGGTTCTCCTCTCCCTTATATAGCTCTCACCAACAAGTACAAGGAGATAAAATCTCATTCTAACCATCTATCCGACTCATAGTGAATGGATGACGTGACGGATAACCCTAACAAGCACACGGATCGCTAACGTGGCGCTTTAAACTAACACATTAACTAACACACTTAATTCTTACCTAACAAGCACACGCATCGCTGACGTGACACTATCAACTAACACAACTACTCTCTATCTACCAAGCGCGCGGATCGCTTACGTGACAGCTACGACTAGTGCACGCTAAAGTATCTATATCAACATTTAGAGTTACCTCTACTTTAGTTCTAACTAACTAAAGATGGTTACACTCCTCCTTGCAGAGAGCTGCAACTGCTATTCAAAAAGTGATATCTCCACAACAATCCAGCCCGACACAACAGCAACTGAAGAATCGTAGCAAGTTTGCTGGCGTACAACAACAGTTGACATAGAGTATGGGTTGACAAGGCACACATAATAGCCCATCTTTGTGCAAGGTATTGGATTGTAACTGAAATCTGACTTCATCATATGTAAGGCTTTTATCAATGTTGAATCAAATGTCAGCTTGTTGCAGGTGATAGTGCATCTACAGAGCCTAGCATAGATGGTGCTTCAGCCAGCCGCCCTCTTACTTGAAGCTTGACTGCAGCTTTTAAAGTATGTCGAGTTACTTAGTTACCCCTTCAGCAATGTGCGAGATGCAACGTTGGGACAATCCATCATCTTTGAGCAGCTGAAAATATCGCCAATCAATCGGAGCTCAACTTTGGGCAAACCTTGTTGTGCTTTGACTGCAACGTTGCAAATGAAGGTGTCAAGCTTTTTGTTGCAACGGGTAAAAAAATATTGTTGGCAGCTGTTTAAGAAGCAACATCGGTACTAGTGATCTCAACCATATATGAGCAGTTTCTTGCCTCTATTTGCAGACCAAAAACTAAGTGGGCAGGAAAGAAATGGCAATACAACCACAGCATTTAATGCCAACAAGAAAAAGAAGAAGTATGGTGACTTAGATTTGACGGTGCAAAGTTGAATGGAGAAGTATGCCTGGGCTACACTGGTAGTCAGGAAAGAAGATGAGAATTCCATGACAAGATGCTCCACTTGCACAGAAGCACAAGTCACGAATAACTTTGCTTCCAAGATTTGCGCTGTTTGCAAAGATGCAAGTGAGTATAGATATGTTTTTGAATTTTCTAATATTTGTATAAGTGCAAAGCGGATACTAAAGTGTATGGGGATTTTTACATGGGTGTGATATCATGTTTTCTTATGTAGGCTATGTCAGCGACCATGCTTCATCGACAAAGTATAAGGCATCAGCGTCAAAAGTGAAACAACGGCAAGGGTTTCAAAAGAGCAGAGCAATAGCTATGTCCCATTACAAGCGGCAACAAATAATTTTTTGCACACCACATTTTTTCTGGTGCTGCTAGTTGTCTTAGAGAATTTTCTCATTTCAAAATGGGCTCTGCTGTTGGAGTGTATGGATAGAATCTCCCAATGCATGCACTACATCATGTGGATGATCTTTTCATTCAACATTGCTAGCTTCCAAGACTTGTGAAGGCTGTAACAATATGTTTTCATCTGTGTGTCAGCACAGATACCTTTCTTGGCTGGGGCATTCATGCATTAACCGGAAGTACAATTAGAAGCGCTTATCTAGTTGTTACTCTCGGTGATCAGCGAAGACCTTCTAGTAGTACAACTGGCCAAGGTAACTTCTAGTATTTTCTATTCTGTCCTAGTGGAAAATTTCAACCACATCGGCAACGAGAACCACTGCTTAATATTTCTCAACTGCACTCTCCTCATTCAGAGAAATTTTGCAGAAAATTGTCTCCGCTAGAATGCACATGGCAGCATTGATTAATCTCTGACTATGTTGTGTTGGGAATCATATTAAGTAGGTACTAGGATGGAGACATCTGGGTGCCACGTTCGGAATTCATGTGTGTCGATAGTCTGGACGAAAAATTAGTTGAAGGGATGCACCAGATGCTATGCACGGTGATAGATGCCCTTTACGTTCCAATATCAAAGATGGCAGTAATCTGCACTAACAGTGACTCCACACTGATTGGTAGGCACAATGGACTTGACACAAAGTTGCAAAGAACTGTGGAGTATCTTTTGAGAGTCCATTGTGCAGTGCACAAGACTGTCTTAGCCCTTGGGGACATAGCCAAGGAAATGGAAGCTCTTCAAGAGCTGGACGTTGTTTAGAAGGCGTTGCATAATTTGTTTAGCGAATGAAGATCTAGTCAAATGCAATGAACTTGCTTTGCTAGGAGACGGGTGTGATCAAACTCTAATTTTTCTTATTTAATGTTACTCGGTGATTTTTCATAGCTTAGTGCGTGGATGCATTACAAGAGAATTTAGCAACGCTGATTTTGTTCTTGAAGAGGAAGTCAGGCAAGAAGGGTTGGGAGAAAGCTGTAGACTTACGTAAGTACCTCATTGATGTCACTTTCATCTGTCTATTGCATAATGTTGCTGATGTATTGAAGACCTTAGAGGAATTTAGTAAGTACTTTGAACATGACAACAACCTGCCTCACAAAATTCCTAGCCAACTTGGGGTGTGTTTATCTTCTCTCAAGGATATTTATGAATTTGAGCATCGGATGGATGATGATAAATTGAAACAGTTCTTAAAATCTGTTCAAGAGAACGGGGCCACAAATGATCTAATTTGGCAAGTCAATAAGAGCTGTAGTATTTCTTTGATAGGTCAGTCCGGTGTCAATGTGGAACACATTCATGTGTTCATCAAGATGGTCGTGGGGGAATTGAGGCAAATCTTTTGGAACGCTGTTCTAAGGGAGATGTGCTTAGTGACTTCTTTGATCTAGCATTTTATAGAACCCTAAAGCAGTCAAAGCTTGATAAATTTGGTGTGAAATTGATGTGCTTAGTGACTTCTTTGATTTAGCATTTTATAGAAACCTAAAGCAGTCAAAGTTTGATAAATTTGGTGTGTCAGATTATAAAATTTTGTTGAACCATTTTTGCAACAGGAAAAAGAAAAAGTGGTTGTTCCCAATTGATCTGTCCGTATGGTCTTAGATCAACAAAGAATTTTCAAGCTTGAAGCACTTGCTGTGGTTAGCGACCAAGGACCCGCATGTAGAGTTTTTTCTCGTCTAGAGGTACATTCATGATGAACATGGGCTGGGACTAGGCTACATGCTTAAACTTGTGTATCTCTGTCTTGTCATATCCCTCAACAGTGACGTTGCCGAGCAAAGTTTTTCTTTGCATAATAGTATGAAGACCAAGCTTAGGAATAGGCTGCGTATCAAAACAATTGATGCACTCATTCGGAGCAAGACTTTGGCAAAGTCTTGGGAGAATTTTGATTATTTACAACTAGAGGAATTGTATCATCATAAGCCTTAGAACTTCAAGTTGCCATCATTATTCCAAGCTGTGAATGCCCTTGAATATGATGGAAACACAAATGATGATGACAGCGTAGATATTGATCAAGACGTTGAGTACAATGAACTAGATGAGCATGCTTTCTATGATGGTGACTCATCAGAAGATGATGAGTAACCAATGCAAGCAATTGTAATGGAGGAAAATACTAGTGTTGAGTTGGGGGAGGAATTTCTAGAGTTGTTGGGGATGGTCACAAGTTGAAGGTAAATTTTAAGAGTCCTAAATCCATGCTTCATTTGTACACAAATGTGCATGCAACCCATGACAAAGTTTATACTCAAAAGTACTAAGTAGGGTCAGTAAAACAATTTTGAAAAACCCATGGGACACATTTGATTGATCCGAGAAATCAAGAATGTTCAAGTGAAAAAGTCGGGGCTACGTCTCACGTTTTGTGGCGCGTTACTGGGATGACCAGGTGGTTTTCAACCATGCCTATCAAACCTTGGATATGTAGATAAGAATTAGATTAAGAATATTAATAGTCTTGGGTTGAAACGTGAGAGTGCACGAATTAACAAAGTATGCCAGTTTATTTCACTAAAATCAGTCTTCAATATAAGCTAAAGACAATTATATCGAATCACGTAGGTATTGGGTACAATGTTATTTGTTGTCCGTTCCCGTGGAAGCAGTGCAGGTGCATGGTAAATATAAGAGGATTAAAATCATGCGACGGATGATGGCATTCAGAGTTGGACAGGGCATGCACGACGCCGTGTTATTTTTCGGTGGACATGTCCATGCCGATTCGATTTTTTCTGCACAAAGGTCGTCAATGTCTTCTCGAGTTCATGATTGCCAGTACACAACACTCAGTTACAGGCAGCAATAATGGCAAGATCATATTCCACGACTCGTGAGAACTCGGAACGAGAGCAATGGCAAGTCGATGTCATCAGATGCTCTTCGGACTGATTTCCAAGTCCTTAGATTTGACCTCCATGGCACTTTGACTTCCCATAGTCCCGCCCGCAGCAGTCCTCGGGGATAAGTAACATCGACCGGCAGCTTTCGTTTCCGAACCCTGGCAAAGTCGAAAGGCGAGAGGTTTCGGAATCTCGCACTGAGGAGGAGAATGGGGAAGCCCAAAGCTCCAGCCGGTCACGGTTCCGGTCCCCGACTCCGTCCGTGTTCCAAAACTCTGGGAACGCGAAGAACCCCAGCGCGCTCGCTGGCTGGCCCGGCCGCGGGACACCGTCTAGGGCTTAACAGCTACCTACCTCAAGGATCTTCTCCTACCCTTAAAACCCGAGTCAATCCCGACCCTCCATCCCGGCCTCCGCCACCCCACGCCGCAGCGGGCCGATACAGCGCACGCCCGACACCGGCCCGAAACACACCCGAAACTGAACCGAAAGGTTCGGTCTCACCGCGTCACGAGGACGACCTCGCAGGGGATTCCTCAGAGATCTCCAGTTCCGACAGCACGCCCGCTCCTCCGCAGAATCAGGGCCGGAGGGGAATAATGTCCTAAAGATCGAGCGCGAAACTGAAAAGTAAAGCGGAAAATCAAAAGCTAAAGGCTGGCGTTCTTCAAATTCTTGGAAGAACCGCCGGATCCCCGCGGACCAAGGCGAGGGCGGTCGCGGGCTCGGCTAGGTCAGGCGACTCCGAAGACCGGAGGCCAGCGTGCCGAGGGGAGAGGAGGAGGAGGAGAAGAAAAGCCCTAAGTGGCACGAGGACACACAAGGATCATCGTCGGTCGCGTCCCGCGAGCGGGACCGTAAGTTCGCGGCGCTTTCGTTCCTTGCTCTCGTTGCTTGCCGTCGCGTGTCCCGTCCCGTCCCGTCGAGGGTTGAGTCGCGGGCGGGCGGGCGGGAGGGCTGGCTGGCTGGCCGGTGCCGCGGGAGGCTGCTGCAGCAGCGCCTGGTTGAACGACTGGGCGCTGCGCTGCCGCTGCTCTCTTGCATCGCAGGCCAATCTCTGGGGCTTTGGCGCGCACGGCCCTTCTGCTGCTGCTTCTCTGCGTGGGAGAGAACGGCAGGAGGAAGAGGAGGAGGCTAGGGAAGGGGACGGGAACCCCGTTCGGTTCACTTCTTGCTGTCGCTCGTGTCTGCGCGAGTGAGTGAGTATGCGAGTGAGCGAGTGAGATAGAGAGAGAGAGACAGACAGGGAGGGGGAGGGAGAGGGAGGGAGGGAAAGTCTGGGGTGCCGGGGTTTTTGAGAGATTGTGGGTTTTGGGCGAGTCGGTCTTCTGCAGCGTTGTGGCTTGTTTTGGCTTTGTGCTCGCTCTTCGCTTGTCCTCAGCTTGGCTCGGCTCGAGGGAGGCCAAGAGTCCAAGCACGCAGGGAGGGAGGGAGGGAGAGAGGAGAGGAGAGAATTGAGGTGTAGAGGAGAGGGGCGCGGGGAGATAAGAGAGAGAGAAAGCGCTATGGGTGCTGCTACGAGCGAGCAGCAGGTGGCGAAAGCGGCGGTTGCATGAGGAAGAAAGTCGGAGTGAAGGCGAGGAGGCTGAGTTTCTCGTCTCTATTTCTGGTTGGTGGCGGGGCGAGGAGCAAGCTTAGAAAGGAGGAGGTCGTCGCTGCGGAGGGAAAGACGTAGCTTAGGTACTCGTGTGACAAGTCGCCGGGTTCGGTGAGGGGAGGAGTTGAGTGTGAAAGGGGAGAGAGAGAGAAAGAGGGAGGGAGAGATGACGGATAAGGGAAAGAGAGCCAAGGTAGACGAGGATGAGGGAGCCGAACTCGATCCCGAATTGGTTATGGCCATCGAGAAGCTGCAGGAGGTGCAAGATGATCTCGAGAGGGTCAGTTTCTAGTCCTTCCGGTTTTAGCCCATGATCTACCAAGAGTTTTACTCTGCATTTGTAGCAACATGAGTGACTGAAGAGTGGAAATTTTATTACTAGGGCTCCTGCTCAAATGTCGTTTCACTCCAGCATAGTCTCAACCAAGCTTCAGGGTAGACAGAGTGCTTGTTGCCTTCAAAACCAAATTTCGCCTTGAGACGATGCGTATGTTCTGCATGAAGGTCATTATACAAGCGGTGGATCATGATTGTAAAAAACTTGCCCGTCGCTGAGCCAATGGTTTTTGTTATTTTACGAATATTTTTCTCTTCATTTCATTGTTCATTTGTACCCCGTGTCCTGCCCCGTGAAGCTGATTGTTGTTTTTCCCCACGCCCTTACCTTTCAAAGGAGTGTTTAACGAACGAACCACCTTCAGCATGTCATTGTAGGTAGTTTCCAGCGGACTCCCTCCGACCCAACTCATTCTCTCGTTATAGTGAAACCCCGAGTAACACTGAGTGCTGCCCCAAAACAATGTTTCCACGAGTGTTAGTGAACTAAGCATTGTAGGTCAGTATGGTCTCTAACCGAAGAGTCTTAATTTCTGTTTGTTTTTCTCGGCCGAGGTATGTGAGAACACCCAGACAAAATGATACTCGCCACCTTTTCCCGTTGAAAGTAGTTATGTTGTCCGTGTGGCCTGTTTTTTTATTAGTAGAGTTGTAACCATGCGCAGCTCAATTTCACCGGACAAGCGCTGTTGACGTATTGTTTGCATCCTCGTGTCTTGTGGGACGTTACCAACCCATACGGCACCCCACCCTGCCAAAAGAGCCCTTCTCGTTCTTTACACTTTGTATTGGACTGCGTATTGAATAGAGCATAACAAATTGTGCTTCATTTCTCGAATACTGCAGTTATTTTAGTATACGCCAGCAAATTCTTTTCTGTATATCTTCTCACCGAAGTATGGCACACCTTATCTTCGATGGAACGTGCTCACATTAATCTGGACTATGGACGTCGTTACCTTGAACATCAAGGAACTCCTTTTGTTTGTTGTTTTGGTGAAATCTATGTCAAGAATATAAAATGTTCGGTGATATTGCATGCACAGCTCAGATCTTGTCTATTAGATCGGAAGCAACAGTAGAACTCCCAATCCGCATGAGAAAAGCTCTCTCAGTCACAGGTGAAGGGACCATGCTAAACTAGAAGGATGTTAACGTGTTTTCCTTTCATGGACCAGGTAAATGAGGAGGCCAGCGATAAGGTGCTTGAGGTCGAACAACGGTATAATGAGATCCGGCGACCTGTCTACAACAAGAGAAATGAAATCATTCACAACATTCCGGATTTCTGGCTTACTGCTGTAAGTTCCAAGAAACTTGGTGGCATGTGGGAGTACTTGTTTTCAGTACTTTCCTCCATCTCAACAGTGTACATATTTGTCCGCAAGATACACTTTTCAAGGAGTGAACATGAGAAACGTCTTGCAGTTGTTTCCATTGTTTCCTGTGTACCCTTCTTTTCTAACTTTGTCAGGATTTGCTTGCAGTTTTTAAGCCATCCGGTTTTAAATGAACTCTTGTCAGACGAAGATCAAAAGGTAGTTCTCTTTTCTTCCTCATTACTCGCAGCTAGGGGGTTCTCATTCTCTATGTTGTGGATGAAAACATAACTTCATGATAATTTACGAAAACGTAACTAACAAATGTAGCCAAGCATGTGTTTCTTGCTGTTACATCCACAACACCAATGTCTTTCTGTTTTTCTACTGGTGGTAATGCGCAAGATTTTCTGTTTATATGTTGCAGGTATTTAAATACCTGGAGTCTTTGGATGTGGAGGATTTCAAGGACGTGAAGTCAGGGTACAGTATCACCTTTGTAAGTTTTTGTACTCACTCTTTTGCATGGAAGGAATTATATGGATTATGCAAAGCGTGAAGAGGCCAGCGTGTCCCTTTCAAGCTTCTCCTAGAATCGGGATTCGTATGTCGGGAGCAACCTTGCAAATGATAAGATTCAAGAGATTATTAGTGGGTATCTTAACACAATATTCTATCTAGAACAGCCCTTGAACAATCGAGTAGACACGCAGTAGTAGTTCAATATCTCCGGTTACATTTATTGTACATGTGATCAGATTCGCTTGCTGTGGGTTAAGTAGTTTGACGGTTTCCAAATTACTTTGTTTCGAATGGTTTTTGGTACAGCATGACCCATGCCAGAATACTACACGTCCACCAGAATTTTAGTAACCTTTTGGGCAGGTTGGAGGACATCGAGAAGAGTACTTATGTCTTAGAAGTGTTCTCTGTAATCTTGCAGGCATTTAAGCCCAATCCTTACTTCGAAGATGCGAAGTTGACGAAAATTTTCAAGTTTTCGGACGAAGGGACTACATCTGTCACTGGTTCTGTACCGAAGTGGAAGGATGGCATGGTAGGTCTCCATGCTGCAATGACATTGCCTTCTTGCTTGCTCAAAGTAACGAAGATATAGTTGACGTTTGTAGTTCTTGTTTCACTAACTGTCCATGGGGTTACCCTTCTGAAGGATTTGACAAACGGAGTGGTGGCTGAAAAAGAGATATAGTTGACGTTTGTAGTTCTTGTTTCACTAACTGTCCATGGGGTTACCCTTCTGAAGGATTTGACAAACGGAGTGGTGGCTGAAAAAGAGAACCACAAGCGGGCACACGCAGAGGACAGGTACTAGAGGCCAAAGTCTTCTGGGTCTCCTTGAATTTTTTATCTTTCTCTGAAACAAATTCGCCTTGATTAGCTGATTGTAGGAATTGTAAAATCAGAGCTATGAGCGAAGTTATATGCTTGAGAAGTTTCAATGGGAGCAGGACCGCATCACCTACACCTTCTTTCTACTAATACATAGTTGTGTTGGGCCCTTCTCAGTTTTTTCAAATGGTTTGGAGACTCCGCACAAAAGGAGTCTCTGGAAGGTATTCAAGATGAGGTATCAACTTTCTTTCTGGTGCGTCCTTCTGGTGTAGGTAGCTTGCTTTAGGAGAGCATTGTAATCTCTCATGAACCGGCTCTTCTACTTTCCATTTCGTTTGGGTCAAATGGCGTGCCAAGAATTTCTTACATTTCATATGTATATATATATTTGACGAGCTTCGAAGTGCGTCTTCTGTCTCTATTTGTTTAGCATCAGCACACGTAAATATGACTGCAACGGATGACATGCATCTTGTAATAAGGGGAATGTCTTTTTATACACCTTAATGTACTATTTATCTTTGATAGGCTAGTTTGCGTCGTCGTGCTGTCAACTGCTAAGTTGATGCCGGTGGATATGTCCGTTCCAGGTTGCGGAAGTTATCAAGGATGACTTATGGCCAAATCCTTTGAAGTACTTCAATAATGTAAGCAACAAATTTGAATACAAAATGCCGATACGTCTCCCTTCCTTCAGTTGTAAAGGCGTTTAAGTCGTTATCAGGTACATGACACTGCACTGCTGAAGTGTCGAGGTTACGAGAGTTGAAGTTCTTCCTCATTCTGACGAAGTGGTGCTTATTCTGCAGGAAGCGGATGAAGAAGAGTACGAGGATGACGAGGAAGCAGAAGATGATGAAGATGATGCAGTAAGTGTATTGATTCAAAATCCGGAGTTATAATTTTGAATTTTGGTGGCTTGCTTCTGTCGTATTGTGTCGCTGGTTGCCTTGATGAAATTGAAGTCGTCTGCCTTTAAGTTGGTTGTATATGGGGTTATCTCGTGTTTTCATATTAGGAACTTTTGGCATTGACTTTGGGTTTGGGTCTCTTTTCCCAGGGCAAGGGAGCGGAGGAACTTGATGATGAAGAGGAAGAGCCGGACGAGGATGAGGAGGACGACGAAAGCTGAACATTGTCCCTCTCATTTTTCTTACTTCGAGATTGAATTGAGCTTTTTTTGAACGCCAATGGTTCACGAAACGTTTATGTCTGATCTACAACTGAGTTTGATCTCACTGTGACGAGATCCTAGTCTAGGCTGATAGTCTGTCAACTTTACTGTTCGATTGGTGCCTCAAATTCAGCTTGGTATCCTAAGAAGGTCATCCTTCTCATCATAGCTTTTTACGTCACGAAGAAGAGATAGGCAACTATACTTGAGTTGCTGATACGTCCAAAAGATTTTGCGGGTAGGAAGGGGCAGTTTTCAGACCTTTTCTTCATGCTCAATGTTAATGAGCAAAACCATTGGTTAGAAAACATGTAACGTGATTGAAGTTAAGCTGTGCACGTGTAGCAGCTAATCTTTCAGTGAAGATTGTTGTGTCTGTCATGAATCTTCATGCCGTAGCCTCGTGCTGTGATTTGCAGCCCTTTTTGAATCCATATAGGCAAGTTACATTAGGACAAGACAACGGCACATGTACAGTCTTTCGGGGATGTGGGGCAGGGTAGTGAGCGGGGATGCTATACTGACAGATGGAGATAGTGTTGGACCCAGCAAGCAGTAAAGCACTCGGAATCTGCTGGGACCCATGATGATCACCTGTCAACATTGAGTTTTGCCAATGTCTTGGAAATTTTCTCAATGGAGTTGGAATACGCTTCTACTACGATTCGCAGTGAATTGAGTAGAGAAGGTCGTGTATCGGATGTGCTGCCAAGTCTTAACCCGTTGTTTTGCTTCGTCCTCTCTTGTGTATATTTCGATGAGAAAAGTGAGAAGTCCATCTGGACGTCTGCATTTTTCAGAAAGGGACTTAGTTTGAATGCCTTCCTTTTGGTCAATGATTGCATCGTAAGGTATGGACTAAAAATAGGAATCAGCTCTTGTTTTCAGGGTTCTTCATGCTAGATTTCTCTCAGTACATGAGCATACGCCATTTCTTATTACATTTCAAGTACGGTTTCATTACCTTGAGAGGAACTTGGTATGTTCTACAAGTATTTGTGTTGCATCCAACTGAGCATGAACCAATTCATACCTGCACATATACATCCTACTCAATTTCCTTTCGTTTCTTTGGTTACAGATGTTTGTCTTAAATTTCTTTGTGTAACAGCTGGAAATTTTGTGTCCTTGACTCGTTGGAGAGATTCACTTCAGGCAACCACCTGTGAGTATGTCAAAGGAAATGCTTACAGCACCTGCTCACTATTTGTTTATTGGTAGGTTGCCCATTTTTGAGGTGCGTTACTCTTGATTTTGGTATAATTGGAGTTACTACATAAGTGTTTTTATTTTTGGTCTGTACTTTTAAGACACCAAAAATGTACGTAATCCCATGTGGTCGGAATTTTGCTGCCAAAATTCCGACCATACGTCGGTAATTATGAACGCAATTATCTTGCAAATTGTATATGGAGCTAATTGTGTGTGATGAAGGCAGGTCTCACGGGCCGGATATAAACATGATTTGCAGTCTGTCACGTGATTGAATCGTTTTACATCTGGACTTAAGATCCTTATCTTCTGCGCAGAGAAGTGGAATGTTTTGGGTCGTTCTTAGAACCGAGAGGACTCCATCTTTCCATTGATGACCTTCATCATGTCAGGAATAAAATATAGAAGCAAGGTAATAGTTTGTGTCAATATTCAGTCATTACGAATGTCACCTGTCGTCTTACTCAAAGTATCCTGTGAATCATATGCACTTTGATTATATTTCCCGTTACCGTCACGACTGCATATCTTCAAATTTCCCTATGATTCATGATATACTTGAGTCAATACTCAAGACTAGTGATTTCGGCAAGTGTCGAGGATCATCGTGAAACTGTTTGATCACCCACGCTACTCGGCCCTGTGTGAGTGGCGTTGGACCTTCAGAACGGAGGAAAGTGCTTTAGTTGCACTTTTGAAGTGTTGAACGATGTTATTAGGATCAAGATGATCGATGCGCACAGATCTTGATTCTTTTGGATCTGTAGTGCGAAGATTTCAGATGGATTGTCACGTGTAATTAAATATGCATGATTTCTTAAACTTTTCTCTGTTTCTTGGGTTTAGAGATTAGTATTACTTTTGTACGAAGTGGAGCATGACGACAGGTGAATATATGCGAACCTTATATATCAAATTTACATGAAGTATAGTTATGTCATTCACGAAATCGATAGATAAAAGTTGGATATGTTAGTCAAATTATCCAGAGCGGTTAACTACTTTAGAGTATTATTACTCTATAAGTAGTGATAACAATTGCACAACATTTACTAACTGTTCAAGTGAATTATTTCTCAGGGACATCATGTTGTGGCTTTTAGTGTTCGGACGTAAGGTTTGTATCAAATTTACGTTATGCAAAGTCTTGCATCAAGAAGAGTATTGCATATATATTAAATCTCATCATAATATGAAGTTTTGAATTTAGCAATAATATAGATTGGAACAGTCGTAATTGAGTTACTAAAAGAATATCTAAGTGTCTATTTCGATTATAAAATGTAGATGTTATTGGTCCAAATAGCATGAAAAGCGAAATGTGCGGTATTAAATGAATGTGTTACACTTTCAATTGAGATAATTGTTTGGCGGGACCCAATAGGTTTCAATTTACCCTATGGACCCAGTCACCGTCTGACATGTTTTAATCAAAGTTTTTATACCCTGATAATTGTGTTGCAGCGTGGGATAGTGTTTGTCATTATAGGGCCAAAATACTTTCTCCCTTGAGATTAATTTGGGGACACGATCGCACCATGATGCGAAGCATATTAAAAACACAGAGAATTTCTTACTTGGGTATAAACACTAAGGAAACTTTGCGTTTGACAACGGGAGTTAAGATTTGAATTGAAGCGAATCTCAACTTGAACAGATCGATTGACATCAGTTGTCTCTCAAGATCGATTAATCTCGGTCTCGTTCCAAGGTGAATGAAAGTAAATCTCAAACTATAGGAAGTAGACGTGAGCCTTTAAAAAAATCCAGGCTTCAACTTCCGTGACCAATGATTTCGCCTTCCAATCGGAGGGACTCCGTGAGAACATTCATAATTTCTCCCATGTCTGGCCCGTCTTGCGCTGTTGGGCAGAATGACAGGGCCAACCTCAACGCACTCCTCGACTACGGATGCACGATGGTGTATTTTGTCATATTGGAAAATTACCTGTGTTGTTGAGTTGGGTACCATGGGGTGAAATGACACCCATCGGGTCCCATCAAGTAATTTCAACTTACCGGGGGACCCATCAGGCAATTATCTACTTTCAATTGATACGTTAACAGTTTGGCAGAATGTTTTTCCACCAACCGTGAATAATTTGTAAACAACACATTTTGCGGCCAGGTTGAAATGTTGGACATGAAACCCTAAAATTATTATGGAATCATGACTGCCAACTTTTTATTCGATGATAAACTAACGTATATCGAAATTCATTTGATTTTTTTAAATCAAATGAAATTCGTGATACTTTATGTGATATTATAACTAATTTCATGAGACTATATATAAATAATATCAATAATATAAATATAAACTAACAATTATATGTTATCATTAAGACTGAAATGCATTTTAGGGAGCCTGTGATTTCATCTAATTCTAGCATAATGTCTAAACTTTACTGTATCAAAATGCATCCAACGGTTTGATGATTATCGTGGAATATCTTCTGTTTGGATAATAATTGTCTTTAAATTCAAATAACATAACTCCTAATGATTATCTGTGAAGTAGAAGAAAAAAAGTCAACCTGGTATTCATCAATAGTTGTCTACTAAAAGTTTTGAATTATCAAAATGGTGAGTTTAAAGTAATCAATTTACACAAAGAGTGAATAGATTATTTTATTGCTAGAGTGTATAGAGTAGTATAAAATCATGAAACAAATATTTTTTCAAAATTCCTTATTTGCTCTTTTATATAGTAATTTGTAAAATAATAATTTTAAATGATTAGCAAGTAAATATACTATAAATTAGTATATATCCAGACAATAAAATACATTTATGATCATTGTAAAATTTACAAGTCATCAACTTCTGATTAATTTTATATAAAAAATAAATTTGAAGTTTTACTCTTGACACTAATAATATTTTTCAACTTTTATTAATTCATTATCATTTTTAAATATTTTGGAACACATGAATTACCTATTATAGATTTTTTACTGATGGTATTATGAAAAAAAAAATCAATATTTTTCACATGTCAATAATCAATAATATATAATAAAAATAATAATGTTATAAAATGAATCATATAATGATTTTTATATATATACATTTTTATCAAAGTATTGTGTGTATTTTTTTTACTCATAATATTTTCAGTTGAACAAAATTTTTTGAACAATCTATAGATTTTATAAAGCAAATGCATGCTTCAGGGTTAATCTCCTGAAGCATATGCATTAAGCTATCATTATATAAGAAAACTTTGTCACACTATTTGTCACACAATGAAAAATTTTATGTGAGTAGAACTTGAATTGTTTTTGTGTAAACTGTCCGCAGTGGTAAACCACTAGTACTTGCTATGAGTAAGTGTTTTTTCTACAATCAATTTTTTGTGACAATTAGATGTAAACTAATGTGAAATTTTTTAGAGTTATCAAAGTAGATTTAGAGTCAATCAAAGTAGATTTTGAAATTGCAAGGATGATAAAATAAAAGAAAGCTAGAACATTATTTTGATAAAATTTTCAATCCAATCATGTTGATTTACAACATGAAAATTAACAAGTTTCATTCATTAAAGTGTAAATTACAATATTTAATTTTAATGAATGAATGAAACTATCATGCAATATTTGCTTTTATTTAATCATCTATATGAATGTAATAATATATTAAAATCACAACTCTAGATTATCTTAAATTATAACTTCAAAAATATATTCATAAGTAAGTATTAACATAATTTCAGATCATTTGAATGTACAAGACTGTTGAGAATTATCAATCTGAAATATAACTAGTAGTTTATTATTGTGTGGAAGCCAATTCAAAAGACTGAAAGTGGATATGATTTGCAGGTGTAGTAATACAGTTGAATTGTAACCATCTTCTTGTATATGTTAAGAATGAAGTAATTCTAAACAAGATTTTGAAAGTCAACCAGCACAAAGATAAAAAAATTATTTGATAATTAATAATTTCAAATTCATTTTTGACAAGATGGAAAATATTTTTTTACAAAAAATTTGTGTTAAATTCACATTATCATATTTTTATTTTCATTCTTCATTTTGTTGGATATGATTCACAAAAATTCACAAAAATATTATTGTTGAATACTTTCACAATAATATAGACACACATGCATAATTGCAGACACGCCAAACAGCCTATAGGAACATATATATGAATTTTGACATTAAGTATAAGATTTGTCACATTAGACTCCATTCACGATAACTCATAAAAGTCTTTACTAATAAAAAACATTTAAATTGTTTGACCAAAACTTTGGCTTCTTTTACTTTATAATGAAACCAAAGTCTAATACTAACTAGAATTAAGCTACGTGATTTAAAACATACCTGAAAATTTTAAGTTAATATTATTAATCTTCCTCTTTATTATGTTGTGCGAGGAGACTAGTCTTGCATAATCCATATAGATAGTTTTAGAAAAACTATTGTCATAGATATTTGTTTAAACTAAAGCTAACTAGAATTAATTTGTATTCAATACATGATAGAGTAAAAATATATAAGAGTAATAAAATTGGTATCA